AAGATGAAAACATGGACCAACTTATACGGTTTTGGGCTACTCTTAATAAGAATGACCTTTTAAAATGGAATCCCAAATCTTAACAAAAGATACATGGTCCACGTAAGGAAGTGCAAACCATACCATTTGCCGCTTAGTGAAAATTACACACGAGACTATGATGAAAAATTCAAATTTCATTTTTACCGAATACCTTTTATTATTCTAAAAATACATTTAGTTTGTAAAAATAATTATTTCTAATAAAGTTAAATAAATCAAATTAACTTGTGTAGAAATCCCATAGAGATGGCAATATTCTATCTACCATAATTAGCCTTGTATTTAAGGAAATTGTAATTATTGTAATTAGAATTGATTCTTGGAGATTATTAGGTTGATTTAGGATTTATGTTTCCTTCTTAATTTTTCTCATGTACTATTAAAGGAGGACCTTGGTTGTATAATTAAATAAGAAAATATGGAGAATTTTTCTTTCTTTTCAATTTCCTGAATTTTCATGGTATCAGAGCAGAGTCGTAGCTCAATCTGATGACAAAAACTATTGTTGATACACTAAAAGTGCAGCCCAAATCAAATAGCTCAAAGAGTAAAGCCCAATTGGAGAATTCAGGATAAAGGTCTAAACAGGATTATTGATGAATGCGGTGGAAGTCCACGAACACGGTAACATCATCGCCCAAGCTTGCAAGACGCCCAAAATCTGAACGAATAGAATACCTTACGGTCACCCAGAGCGATGGCCCCGTTTTTGCCCAAACCTTCGAATCGCTCAGGATCTTAGCAAGCATAAAATATTATGGTTATCCAGAATAGCAGTTATTGAAGCAGTTATTGAATGAACTTATCATATTCCACGATTCAAGGAGCCCAATTGAAGGCAGTTGAACGACAAAGAGTAATGGCAACAGTTAGGGACGACAGTTCCACGACAAGTTAGCCACCAGAAAGAAAGTGGGTAGTTATACAGCAGTCAAGTAGTTTCCAAGCGGTTTGCCACGAAGAAATAATCAAGGGAATATAAAAGGAAGAGAAGACATAGAGGAAGAGGACTCCGAATCAAACACTCTCAAACAGAGAATATGTGATTTCAATTTCTTAGTTTAAAAGTAAACGCTTCTTTTAGTACTCGTGTGCTTGCGCCCCTTGGAGGCATTCTGTTTGTTTCCAATTGTAAATCATCGCCAATAAAACACCCCTTTTTGGGACTTCGTCTCAAGAGGTCTGTTCCTTACACAATTGTCTGATCCCTTTTTTTAATTGTTAGCGACTATCCACGCGAAACAATTTGGCACGCCTAGTGGGACATTGGTGTTTGGTGTTGAAGATACAAAAGGTGAAACAAAATGCCTCACAAATCTGATAAGGAAGCAGCAAGTCAGGGAGGAGTCCAGTCTGTGATCGAGCGATATGAGGAGCAGCAAAGCTCTCCACGAACGGAGGGACAGAGTTAGAGCAGTCACAGTCGCTATGAACCAATGGTAGAGTTGAGTCCTCTAACCATGCGTGCATTGCTTGGAGAACTCACACAGGATGTCGTTGAACAGGTAAATCTACGAAATGTTCATAATATGGAAAGATTTACTCAGAATGGGAATGCACATTATGACAACATGGCCAAACAACTGAATACATTAAATGAAATAATGAATAAGTTAGTAGGCCAAATTTGTCAGCCAGTTGTGCCTATTGCAAATCACTTTCAAACTAGGACAATTATGGAACATAATTCCCCAGTCCTAAGTCCAAATCAGGGGATAGAACCACATTTTGGTCCACCTATTTCAAACCAGGGGATGGTGTAATGCCAAATCAGAATAGTGGTAATGGTACATCTAACTTGGGGGGTAACCTAAATATAAGAGATAATGTCCTAAATAATGGATAGAATACCCGACGTATCAATGATGGAATAAATATTCAGGTTAATGGTAACAATGACCCAAATTATGGCAACTTTGTTGCCAACCAAGGACCAAACATCATGCCTCAGGCAAATCAACCGACCAACCAACATGTAGGAATTTCATATGACCTCAACGTCATGTTGAGAAATCAAATTATGAAAATGGTACAGGATCAAATGGCTTTTGGGGTACGTCCTGTCATTAGGCCGACTTACACAAAGCCATACCCTGATTGGGTAGACCAAGCATATCCATGTCCTAGAGGGTATAAAGTGCCAGAATTTTCATTATTTACTGGTTTAGGAGAGGTGTCTACTCTAGAACACATAGGGAGATTCACACTGCAAAGTGGTGAAGTAACCGACTACCATAAAATGAGGTTGTTCCCTAGTTCATTAACAGGAATAGCTTTCTCTTAGTTCATCAATTTGCCAACGAACTCTATTCAAACATGGCAACAATTGGAGCAATTGTTCCTTGCTCAGTTTTATAAGACTGAGTCTGAAATTATTTTGGCTGATTTAGCGAATCTACGTCAAATGCCAAACGAATGGGCAGAAGGTTTCCTTCAAAGGTTCAAGACAGCAAGGAGTAAATATTTTGTACCTTTGCCTGAAAAGGAGTTTGTCAAAATCGCTCAAAATTGTCTAAGCTTTGATTTGAAAAAGAAATTCCAAGACAGGAAATTTTCTGATCTTTTCCAATTGAGGGCAAATGTGATTAGGTATGAACGATTAATAAGAGAAGAAAAGAAAATGAAAAATTCTAGCAAGGGGACTTATTATAGAGACACAAATTTTGATATTCATACCATTAATGACGAATATTACGATCAAACCGAAATGTGTTTGGCCGAATTAATCAAAGGAGACGCGTATACTTGTCCTATAATGGCTAAGCCTAGATCGTCGGGTAAAGATGATCCTATAAAAGATGAAAACAAAAAGGCTAGAACGTTCTCGTTCGATGTAACCAAAGTTGACCTTATATTTGATAAACTATATAAGGATAAGCAGATAAAGCTGAGCGATAAACATAAGTTGCCAAATCCTGAACAAATCAAGGGTAAAAAATATTGTAAGTGGCATAATGCATGGTCACATTTGACTAACAACTGTTTGGTTTTTCGTCATGTGTTATAGGACGTCATTGAATCAGGACGAATTACGTTCGAGGATAAGAAGAAGATGGCAGTGGATGAAAACCCTTTTTCACAGCCACTTGGGGTGAATATGATGACGACTGGTTTCAAAAAAAAGTTGTCAAAATTCAAGTTGGTTATAGATGACGGAGAAGAGGACCCTGGGCCACACCCCAGTATCTTTGAACGTATCAAAGGGAAGGAGCCTAAAAAGGACGAAGATGTCCTGTGTGCAAGATGTAAAAGAGAAGTGAGTGCAAATACAGAGAAGCCAGGGATATGACAGCATCACCATACCCTAGTTTTTTCCCAAACGCTCAGCCTGGTAGAGGGTGAGGTACATCATTCTATAGGGGACCGCCTTTTGAGAGGCAGTTCAAGTTAATAAATAATGGGAGAACTTTCAGGCCACAACCTCGCCAACCAAATGTATGGCATTCGTTCTAGTATAATGCAGGAAGGGTGATACCCTTCAACGAATGACTAGAACCCAACAAAGGCATTTTCAACGAAATTATGGATGAATGATGAGGCAACAACAAGGAATGCCACGTCCTAAGGTGCCTAAACTACTCGAAGTGGCCAATCAAAATGTTCTCGAAGACAGTGAGGAGACTGGTACAGGTGAATCAATGGAAGAATTGTCAGAGAGTTCTTCTGAGAGATCGAAGTTTGAGTAAGGCAGAAGGGATGGAGAAGATCGAGATCAGCCTCTTATTATTCAGTTCGGTATGTTACCTCCTGTCATGGCTATTAATTATTTACTAGCCAATGAGTTCAAGAACAAAGAGAAAGAAGAAGAAGAGAGGGAGGATAACGAGGAAGAAGCATGTGTGCTGGAATGTGAAGAAAGCCAAACTTCTAGAGGGGCCTACAATGGTGAAGAGGATGATGGTATGACAGACATCGAAGAGGAAATTGATCTGGAAGCAGAAAGAAGAAAGAAAAGAGTATCGCACAACACTCTGTTGAAGCAACTACATCGAGAGGGAGTTTGTGAAGTGGACTTATTGGGGGAACCATCTAGGCGTTCTTTCGATTATTACGTGCTGTATGAGACGCCCAAGAGGAAAAAGAGAGTACCTCGCTCTGAAAAGTATGGATCACTTCCAAGAATAATGCCTCCTTCCACAGGTAGGGTAACCGAAGAAGAAGCATTAGAAGACAATAAAAAGAAAATTTAGGAAGCGGAAGCTCAGTACGACATACTGCACGTTGACTTATCACAAAAGGATAATTCAACAGAGAACAAGCAGGAAGTGGAAATAGATGCTGCCGAAAATGTTATTTTTAAGAGACCAGCCATGAAGTTAACTAAACACTTGAAACCATTGTACGTTAAGGCTTTAGTTAACGGTATACCTGTGGCGAAAGTACTTATTGATAATGGAGCAGCTATAAACACCATTCCATCTAGGATGATGAGGAAGTTTGTAAAGATAGAAAGTGATGTGATTCCACCAGAAGTCATCTTTACAAGTTTCAATGGAGAAGCAACTTCAGCTAAAGGGGTTATGCCATTGGACATAACTGTAGGGACAACTACTAGGACCACAGTCTTCTTCATAATAGATGGTCCTACTAGTTACAATGTGTTATTAGGAAGGGATTGGATACACGGAAGTCGCTGCATACCTTCATCGCTCCATTAATGCCTGGTTTTCTGGAATGACAAGGGCGAAGCAGAAGTAGTACAGGCAGATCATAGACCTTTTATCGCAGAAGCAAACTCAGTGGAAAGATTCATGTACCAAGGAAATTACGGACTTGTCAGAGTAGTCCAAGATGGAGAAGAAACTCAAATTGTTGCATAGAGCGAGGAGCCATTTTCGGTAGATGTACTCACTGAAATGTTTAGTCAAATGAGGCCAAACATAGTGGCCATGGAAGAGCCAGTAATTGGCAAAAAAGTAATCAAGGAGTTTTAAATGAGTTGTAAGCAAAAAAGGCAAATGGCCGATGTTCAGGCCTTCAAAGCTAAATTAATGACTTTCAATACAGAATGTAAAGATAAGACGAAAGAAAAAGTAGCCTTGAATTCATTAGGATACAAATTGGCAGTGTTCAAGTTGGAACAAAATATTGGCCGAGAAGTCAACAAGGTGGATTGTTTAGAAGAAGAAGTGCCTATAAGGTAATTGGACGATGAAGTAATGAGGATCACCAAGCCTGGATACGCTCAAGCACAAGACCCTCTGATTAAAGTGAATATTGGCAATGAAGGGGAAGATCGCTCAATATTCGTCAGCCAGATGCTCGATCAAGAGGTTACTGATAAATTAATCGTTTTATTAAAGGAATAAAGTGATTGTTTTGCTTGGGAATATGAACATATGCCTGGTTTAGATAGAGATTTGGTGGAACATAGATTGCCAACCAAGCTAAATTTTAAATCTCATAAGCAACCTCTTAAGCGTTTTGCTCACCAGATATGTAGAGTGGTTGTCCAATATCGTGTCAGTGCTAAAAAAGAATAGTAAATTAAGGGTGTGCATAGACTTAGAAACTTAAACATAGCCATACCCAAGGATGAATATCCAATGCCTACAGTAGATTCTTTAGTAGACTCGACTGCCAGACATGTAATATATTCCTTCATGGATGGGTATTCAAGATACAATCAAATTTATATAGCTGAGGAAGATACACACAAAATTGTCTTTAGGTGTCCTGGATCTCTAGGAGGTTTTGAATGGGTAGATATGCCTTTCGGCCTGAAAAATGCAGGAGCGACTTATCAAAGGGCAATGAACTTGATTTTTCATGATACGATAGGCAAGTTTGTTGAGGTGTATGTAGATGATATAGTGGTCAAATCCATTAAAAAAAAGGACCATTTTGAACAATTGAGATGTTCATTTGAGCGAATGGAGCAATATAAACTGAAATTGAATCCCTTGAAATGTGCATTTGGCGTTAATGCAGGAAACTTCCTTGGTTTCTTAGTACACAAAAGGGGGATTGAATTTGATAAAAATAAAGCGAAGGCCATTTTAGAGGCTAAGCCATCTAGCAATAAAAAAAAATTGCAAAGGTTCCTAGGCCAAGTAAATTTTTTAAGACGCTTTATTTCTAATTGTGCAGGGCGAACTAAAGCTTTTTCGCCACTTTTAAAGCTGAAAAACCAGGACGAATTCTTCTGGAAAGAAGAGCATCAAAAGGCTTTTGAAGGCCTAAAGATATATTTATCAAGTCCACCAGTGTTGGTGTCACCAATCCAAGGACGGCCAATGAAAGTGCATATATCGACTTAACAAGAATCAATAGCTGGAATGGTCGCGCAAGAAAACTAATTTGGTGAAGAAAGGGCGATTTACTACTTGAGTAGACGGTTAACAAAATGTGAATGTAATTACTCTGCCATTGAAAAATTATGTCTTGCATTGTATTTCACATGTACGAAATTAAGGGCTTATTTACGGCCCGTAACCGTTTATTTGATTTCTAGAGTAAATTTAGTTAAGTCTATGTTCTCTCGCCCTATTCTACATTAGAGAGTATGCCTTTGGACGTTAGCATTATCAGAATTTGAAATACAATACATACCCCAATAGGCAATAAAAAATCAGGCTTTGGCTAACTTTCTGGCCGATCATCCATGCCTTGACATGCTTGAGGAAATTGAATTAGGAATCAATTCATTCGAATTAAAACCTTGGATTTTATATTTCGACAGGTTGAAAACCTCTAAAGGTACAGGAGTAGGAGTAGCATTTTGGTTGATCCTTTAGTGATTTATTACAAGTTCACATTCACTTTGGATAGGATGTGCACCAACAATCAAGTCGAATATGAAGCCTTAATCGTAGGTTTAGAATTAATGATAGATATGGAGGTAAAGAATGTGATCGTTAGAGGCGATTCTCAATTGGTAATTTACCAATTGATCGGTGATTTTAAATGCCAAAGTGATTCCATTATAAGCTAATATGAAATCGTCCAAGAATTGTTGGAAGAATTCGACAAAGTAGAGCTTCAATGTGTTAATAGGATATTTAATGACATAGCAAATGAGTTGGCCCAGATGGCCTCAGGGTATTCAAAGGCTTTAAATTGGAAATCTACTTATGAATATGGAATAATAGTGCCCGTAGTCCAAAGAAGGGCGAGAAGGATTGAAATTCATTGTATACAAGATGGAGATGCAATAGATTGGAGGGCAGAGATTAAAATGTTCCTTAGAGAACCTAATAAAGGAGGTAGTAAAAAAATGAAGTTGCGTTTGCTAAGCTATATACTGATAGATGAAGAGTTGTTTCAGAAACGCTCTGATGATATATTACTAAAATGTGTAAGTTTGCAAGAAGCCAGAACAATCATGGCTGAAGTGCATGAAGGGATATGTGGAGCTCATCAAGCTAGCCAAAAGATGAGATGGTTAATTATTAGGAATGGATATTTTTGGCCCAAGATGGGAGAATCATGCGTTTAATATGCGAAGAGTTGTCTAGCATGCCAAAAGCATGGTCCAATACAAAGGGTGCCGACAAGAGAGATGACACCCATTATCAAACCCTGGCCGCTCAAGGGTTGGCCGATAGACCTGATAGGGAAGATTTATCCCCCATCGTCTAAGCAACATACCTTCGTTATAGTTGCAACTGATTTTTTCACTAAGTGGGTAGAAGCGGTACCTTTAAAGGAGATCACCCAAAAAAGCGTCATAGAATTTATCCGTGATCATATTATTTATAGATTTGGGATTCCACAAACTTTGATGGTAGATCACGAAACTTCTTTAAATGGAGATCAAGTGAATAAATTCTTGAGCGAATTCGGAGTTAAATTAGTGAACTCCACACCATATTACGCTCAATCTAATGGACAAGTAGAATATTCTAATAAGATTCTAAAAAATATCATAAGGAAAATGATAGATAAAAATGCTAGAAATTGGCACGAATGTTTAAACAAGGCCTTATGGGCTTATAGGACGTCGCCTCGGTCAAACACTAAAGTTACTCCTTTCCAACTTACTTATGGACAGGAGACCATTTTGCTTATGAAAATCAATGTGTAATAAATCAGAGTGTGTTTGCAACATAAGTTAAGTGATATGATCCAGGAGTCGAGCCCGACGAAGGCAAGTGCGAGACGAGACCCGTTGATAGTCGATGGCGGACCAATGACGCGATCAAGGGCAAAGCAAGTGAAATAAGTGATGGGATTGCTCGTTCAAGAAACCATTGATGGAACCATGTTTGGGACTCAAAATGGAGCAACTTTCATGTTCGGGTCGAAGGTCGAATCAACTTGGATCAATTTGTTATCAAGCGACGAAATTAGAGGCTGAAAGATAAGTCTGTGCGGCCACACAGGCAAAACACCATGCGGGCGCACATATGCATACCGAAAATCAAAACATCAATTCTTGTTGAACCATGCGACACCATGGAAATACACCATGCGGCCGCACAAGCCAAAAAAATTGGCAAATTTTCTAATTTTGGCCGAATTTTCTAGTTTCGATAGAATTCTTGTGAAATTAAATTATTACCATAATTTGATGGATTTTGGACGTTTTTACTCATTAGTATAAATAGGAGAATATTTTTCATTGTAAAGACTTTTGACTTTTTGCTTGATATTATAGAGAGAGAATTGTTCTTTCAATTTATTTTTCTTCTTGAACAATCTTGGAACTTATCAAGATTCAATTTCTTGTGGCGTTCTAAACAATTGGATTGTGGGTTCTTTTAATTGTAATCAAGGGGTTTTAGGTTCTTTTCTAATCTAAGGTTTCTTGTTCAATTCTTGGGGTTCAAGATCCAAAATCGGGTTAGTATTGGCGTTATTGGGTTCCGCATCAATCTCGTTGTGGGTTTCGTAGTTTTCATTGCTACAGGGTTCGCATCAGTTGGTATCAGAGCTTTGGCTCCAATTTAATCAGGTTATATCCTTTGTTTTCTAATTTTTTCAATTTCTTATGTTCTTGTGTCCAGAAGGATTTCTTGATCCTTTGATACAAAAGTTATGAGAAATCTTCAAATTCTATTTCTGGACTCAATTTTCTCCCAAATCAGTTTTCGTTTTCTTTATTGGTTTTGTTATTGATTTTCGGATCTGAAAAAAAAAATTTACTGTTCCTCCGTACGGTACTGTTCATCAGTACAGTAAAAAAAATAGAAAAAAAGAAAAAAAATTGTTAAATATTATTAATCCGTCAAATACCAACTTTATTATTCAATATCGTTTCTAAATTACTTGGACAGATTGAATCATTCCATTCTTTCAATTTAAGTCAAGTCTTAAAAGTTTTCTTTGAGTCCTTTGTTACAATTATTGAGTCACATCCGGTTTGGGGAATTCTACACGATTTGATTGATTGACTGAGTTCATTGATTGTTCCTAGAAGCAATTGTTGAAAGAACTGAGTGGTAAAAGGCAGAGAGGTGAGTTTAATAGAGGGTAAAAGCCCTTGTGTGTGTTCCAAGTGACTTTTGGTGAGGCAGTAAAATAAAATTTTTAGTGTTAGGATGTCAGAAAGGGCAGAATCAAACTCAAGCCGACAAGGCAATAATAGCAATGCATTGGAGGATTTAGTGCAGAGGTTTGAGAGGGCGTTTTGAGTTGTGAGAGAAAGGTTGGAGAAGCAGGAGGCTTGGATGAATAGATTAGATATATCGGTGGCTAATCTTAGTCGGGGGCATCGAGTGGATGTATCCAATGCCAGAGAACCGGATAGATGGGAGCCTAGGAGGGAAAGGCGAGAGGAGTATGGATATGGGAGTGACATGGGCGAAGATGAATTTCATGGTGTTAAGATGGGAAGGATGAGGAATAGAGGTGATAGGTTCGACAGACGGGGTCGGAATGATCACGGGGAGGAGTTGGATGGAAACTTGGGAAATATAAAAATGACAGTTCCTTCATTCAAAGGAAGGAGTGATCCCGAGGCATACCTGGAGTGGGAAAGAAAGGTTGAAATGATCTTCGAGTGTTATAACTACTCGAAGGAGAAAAAGGTGAAGTTAGCAATTTTAGAGTTCAGTGACTATGTAATTTTATGGTGGGATCAAGTGATTACTTCACAACGTACGAGTGGGGGAAGACCAATCAGCACTTGGG